ATAATTAATGCCTTGCTAACTGGCATAGATCCAAAGTTCAACCGTAGGTTTTCTGGTTTTTGGATGATTTATACATATTTTTTATGAATCTGACTAACATATGGAATCACAATGTGAAAAATTTTAGTTTTGTTTTATGTGTAAGAACACGGCTTACCTTCTTCCTATCCTTTGTGAAGGTTGCAGCTTGTGCTGAGAACATTGAAGATGCTGTTATTGAGACATCTGTTGTCAAATTTGTGCCAAGAATTCGATCTGGGAGCTGTGTGGATATTGGTCCTAGGAGATTTATGGAGGACGAACACATAAGGATTGATGATCTATCTTCTCATCTGGGTTCTATCTTTAATCCTTTGATGCCAAGTGCTTTTTATGCTGTTTTTGATGGTCATGGTGGTGCTGATGCAGCTGCTTATATCAAGAGCAATGCTACAAGGTTATTTTTCGAAGATTTTGATTTTCCACAGGTAGCTGATATCGATGCTGTTTTCTTGAAAGCGTTGGAGGATTCTCATAGGAAGGCATTTTTGCTGGCAGACCTTGCCTTGGCTGCTGAAAGCAGTGTTAGCAGTTCTTGTGGAACAACGGTGCTGACTGCTCTTGTACTTGGAAGGCATTTGCTAGTTGCAAATGCTGGTGATTGTCGAGCTGTTCTTTGCCGAAAAGGTACCGCTGTTGAAATGTCCCAAGACCATAGACCATCTTACTTGCCAGAGCGCAAGCGAGTTGAGGAATTGGGTGGCTACATTGATGATGGGTATCTTAATGGTTATCTTTCAGTCACTCGAGCTCTTGGAGATTGGGACATGAAATTCCCTCTTGGATCGGCATCGCCTCTGATTGCAGAGCCAGATGTTAGACAGATTGTATTATCAGAGGATGATGAATTTTTGATCATTGGTTGTGATGGCATTTGGGATGTCATGTCAAGCCAGTTTGCTGTCAGCCTGGTTCGCCGAGCTCTTAGACGACAAGATGACCCCAAAGAGTGTGCCAGAGAATTAGTCAATGAAGCAACACGCTTGAATTCATCAGATAACCTCACTGCAATCGTTATCTGCTTTTCTACACCTGCTCGTGTTGAGTCATGCCCTCCCCAAAGGCGAAGGTTTAGGAACTGCAATCTATCTGAGGAGGCCAGGAATAGGCTGAAGAGCTTGCTAGAAGGCAATTGAATTTGAATGTGCATACAAATTAATTTTCTCGTCTATTTACCGTTTGTTACTCCTAGAAAACTTTTGCAATCTGTTTTGGGCTGTTTCAGAGAGTTTAGAAAGGAAAACAAAAACAAAAAGCAGCCTGCGGTTTTGTAGGTGTGGGAGAGTGCTAAATATCGGATTGTGTTTTTTTTTTTATGTTATAATGTCTGGTGGTGTAAAACTACATTGCCGGATGTTTTGAATTGATTGTAATGGGTTTTCCTCACTGCAGAAATGATGTCAGAAATTCGATGACATTCTTCGCCAGAAGGTGTTCTTTCATGAGGTGTTTCTTCTTACGACTATAAGCTTGACCTAACCATAACATGTTCTATGTTTGCCATGTTTTCATATACTTGGGAGGATATTTAGAAAGTTATATCTTTGATATTTATGTTTGAATGTGTCTGACATAAGTGGTAGTAACAGAGCTTGAGATTCATGGTTGAAATTGGGTTAGGATTGAATAATGTTATCGTTGGGGTTTGGAAGTTTATGCCAAGATGATGGGTGGATGGTGCAGAATAATTTTAATATCCTTGGCAGGAAATCCTACCATGCACACAGTTGAGGGTGTGACTATGAGGCCACCATTTATTTTCTGGGTTTCTTTATTATCTTCTATTATTACATGCAGAAATAAAGAAAACATTAGAGATAGGACAAAAATAATCCCATGCTGCAATCAATGAAACTCATCCCATCATCTAAGTTCTTAAGCCTCATTACACCCTATTGATGATGTTTCTTGTATATTATGTATATAGTATGAGATGATTATAAGATAATATTTGTTCTGAAGATTTTTAACTATTTTAATAATAAATGTTCAAATATTCTTACAGACGATGAGCTCAAATCTGAAATCTCTAGAAATAATGATCACTCCTTCAACTACCGAAGTCGTCATTTAGTTAATGTTTCTTTTATACATAGAATTTGAGTTTTAATTATATATTTCGAATATAAATAGTAAAATCGATGCGAAAAATATTAAAAGAATCACATATGATATTATCAACGGTTCAGCTCGGTAGAGAAGTTGTGAAAAAAGAGACCTCGCCTGACTCCCAAAATTGGTCAACTGATCCAAGTTCCACATCCTTATCGTACACGTGTCTTATTCCTATTGGGAAGAATACATCAACCTCATGTACAGCCGGCACAGGGAATAATAACCAATGAGACGTATTTGGAGGAGCATAGATGGGCCATTTTGATAGAATATTGCCCTCTAAGCCGCATTCTGAAAGTCTAAGAAGAAAGCCGCTTTGATCAAAATCAGACCCAGATTTTCTTTCGTCGTTCATAGAATAATACTTACAATTTTCTCAGGAAAAAAGAGAGATTAAAAGAACATGGCTTTGGCAAGCTTGGCCAGGAGAAAGGCATACCTTTTGTCGAGAAACCTATCGAATTCGCCTGCAGATGCGTTGAAGTATTCGTTTTCTCTCAGCAATTTCTCGAGGGGTTTCGCTTCAGGATCTGAAGAAAACGACGTCGTAGTCATTGGCGGCGGACCCGGTGGCTACGTGGCGGCTATCAAGGCGGCACAGCTAGGTCTCAAGACTACCTGTGTAGAGAAGCGCGGTACTCTCGGTGGGACTTGCCTTAACGTAGGTTGCATCCCTTCCAAGGTATGCTTTTCGGTTCCATTTTTGGATTTTTCTTTTTCTTTTTTATTAGAATATAAATTGTTTAATCGATTTTGATTATAAATCTCTAGTGAGATTTGGATTTGTTTGCTTGGTTTTTTTGTTTTTGTCCTTTTAAGATTGTGATTGGTCGTGAAATGTATATAGCTGGTCCTGGTATTCAAATGGTGGCATCACTCTCTGTTGTGAAAACCATAAAAAACTATTACTATATGATTTTCTATCTGTAAAACTGAGACTGGGTTTCTATCTGTAAAACTGAGACTGGGATTTGCCAATTGTGTCCTTTTGCCCTTTTGGGCATATTTGTTTTATCAAATTGAAGAGAAAATTTACTGTTCTCTTTAATAGAGTCAGTGCTGAAAACTCCTACTTGATTCATATTAGTACTAAATTGCGTCTGCGGTATTGCTGTTGCAGACTTTACAGCATTTGTTTCCATGAACTTTCTTAGTTGCCGTAAGAGTTTTTGTTTTGCTAATGTTGCATTTATTTATATCTAGGCACTTCTTCATTCATCCCACATGTACCATGAAGCTAAGCATACATTCGCCCACCACGGTGTGAAACTCTCCTCTGTTGAGGTTGATTTGCCTGCCATGATGGCCCAAAAGGACAAAGCCGTTTCGAATCTTACCCGGGGTATCGAAGGTCTATTCAAGAAGAACAAGGTAAACTATGTCAAAGGCTATGGCAAGTTCATTTCTCCCTCTGAAGTTTCTGTAGACACTCTTGAAGGTGGAAATACTGTTGTAAAAGGCAAGAACATCATAGTTGCCACTGGTTCTGATGTCAAATCTTTACCTGGTATCACCATTGATGAGAAGAGGATTGTGTCGTCGACCGGAGCTCTAGCTTTGACTGAAATCCCTAAGAAACTGATTGTCATTGGGGCAGGCTACATCGGGCTTGAGATGGGTTCAGTTTGGGGCCGATTGGGGTCAGAGGTTACTGTTGTTGAGTTTGCCCCAGATATTGTTCCAACAATGGATGCAGAAATTCGCAAACAATTCCAACGATCACTCGAGAAGCAGAAGATGAAATTCATGCTCAAAACTAAGGTTTTAGGCGTTGATACTACTGGAAATGGTGTGAAATTGACAGTTGAACCCGCAGCTGGAGGTGATCAGACCACACTTGAAGCTGATGTTGTTCTCGTCTCTGCTGGTAGAAGTCCGTTCACATCTGGACTTGGCTTGGACAAGATAGGAGTGGAAACCGATAAGGTAGGAAGGATCTTAGTCAATGATAGATTTGCTACAAATGTGGCCGGTGTTTATGCCATCGGAGATGTAATTCCAGGGCCTATGTTAGCTCACAAAGCAGAAGAAGATGGTGTTGCTTGTGTGGAGTTTATAGCTGGTAAACATGGCCATGTTGATTATGATAAGGTCCCTGGAGTTGTCTACACTCATCCTGAGGTTGCATCTGTAGGAAAGACAGAGGAGCAGGTTAAGGCACTCGGTCTCAACTACCGTGTTGGGAAATTCCCTTTCATGGCAAATAGCCGAGCCAAGGCTATCGATAATGCTGAAGGAATAGTCAAGATACTGGCTGACAAGGAGACGGACAAAATTCTTGGAGTCCATATCATGGCACCAAATGCTGGAGAGCTCATCCATGAAGCCGTCCTTGCCATTAATTATGACGCATCGAGTGAGGACATCGCACGAGTGTGCCATGCACATCCTACAATGAGCGAGGCATTGAAGGAAGCTGCAATGGCCACCTATGACAAGCCAATCCACATCTAGAAATCTGGATTTTACATGTTATTCTTCATTTTGATTCATGTTTGATAATTTTCTCGAGTGACTCGGCGGCAGTCAGTACAAACTGCTCGCTCATCTTCTTGTTTTTCACAAGCATATGGCATGCTTGAATAGACGTTTTCCATTCGCGCTTTACATTTTCTCAGTGACAGAATAACTCAGCACGTTCTGTCATTCGTTTGAACATTGATCTGCAATTAATAACTTAATACCTTCAAGCAGATTTCATGTTCTGATGATTCACTGTTATACATATATTGCAGTTTTCTCATCTTGAGTGAATATTTTGTTGGCCAAACAATACATGGTTCACTATGAAACTGAATGTGCATGTTTATTGAGTTATTCGATTTAGAGTTTTACTGTAATCGAATAAAAAGAACCAATATGATGTCGTTTTACACCGGGGTACAGGATATATTCTTTCTTAACAGAAACCAAAGGTACAGGTGATGTCTACGCTTCAACCAAACAGCTGTGCAATAACAAACATGATTCGATGGGGGGAAAGAAGAGGGAACTAGAAAACATTCACTAGGAAAATATTCACTCAGAAATGTCTTTGCTCTAGGTTTCCATACTAATCATGGGAATAAAAGGCCCCTGTTCAGTTCTCAACAACTCTGAGTCTTTCCAACAGTAGCTTTCGGCATGGTGGACCAAGAAAAAGAAACTTAAGGATGTACGCATTCAAGGGTCCTCCCGCATTTCCGGTCTCCTCCTAGCCTGTAGAGCAAGCCTAGCATCTCTCTCCCTCTCAAATTCGCGATAGTCAGTCCTCTGCAAGAAAGAAACCTTATCCAAATACTGGTTAGAACTCTTCTTATATGCATCCAGTTCCTCCTCCATCCCCTGATTTTCTTCCTTGAATTCTCCCCAATCTTTTTTCGTATTGTCAAGCACACTGAGCTTTTGCTTCTTCTTGATTTGTTCAAGAATGGCATCAACTGCAGAACGTGTAGTTTTTGCCTTTTCAGCTGCCTCTTTTGAATCGGCATGGATTCGTTTTTTAATTTCAATATCTTGACCAGCAAAGTCTCGAACCTCAGTTATCTACAAAAGGGAAGATCGAATCAAGATCATTGCTCAGGTCTGCTCATCTACAGGCATTTGAATTGCTCCAATATTGAAAATATATATGAAACCTTTTGCTAAAGAAAATTATGAAGCTATCGCAGAAAGAGGTCCAAAAACATACTTGCATGCTCTAATAAACCATTAAATTCCATGACTATGGCATTTTCTAATTGCCACCATTTTTTTCCTAACAGGGTGAAGGATGTGCTTACAGCTTACCTCGATTTTCCCTCTATTTGAGGCAGCTGCTGCAGCGGCAGCCGCATCTTTCACTGCTGAGAGGGAAGCAGCTGCAATCTTCTTTGCCTCTTCACTGATATTGTTCTGGACTACAGTAGTTTCCTTTAGCGCTTTATCCTTATTTTCGGCAACATTTTCTTTGGTCTCGCTCGAAGCCTTTGCCTCTGTCTTTCTTTCTTGATATCCCGCAGGCGATGCCGGTTTCATTTGCAGATAGTTCATCCAATTCTATGATTCAAAATCAAGGCAAACAATTACTACACAACACAATCTAACATGTAGTTGAACTAAAAACGACAAGCATATGAAACTGCTAACGTTTGAAGGTTTTTGTGAAACTTTATGTGTGGGTGTGGCTGAAGTATTACTGCTCGAAAATTGTCTCAGAGCATTCTTAGGTATTCCCTTATTCATTTGCTCCCACATCGATTCCACCCGTGATTCCGCCTCTATCATAACAAAACAAACAACAATCCATATGATAAACATAATTCCCACTCTCACAAAACCAAAATCAGGATCATTTAGGGGAATATTACGCTGAAAAAACAACAATATTTCACCAGTATTTGCACATTGGATCTCTGAATTCAAAGCCATAGCATCTTCTTTCCCAGACTTGTTCATTGTAACCTCTTTTCCATTTGCACTACCTGAAACATTATATATATATCACATATCAGGAAAACAGAAAATGAAAAAGACCCATACATTAAAATTCTCTAATATATAGAAACTATTACAACTAGAGGTAATAACGTTAAAGTTTCTTTTCCTAGAGTGATCAAAGAGTTAACTTTGTGCTTTTTAAAAATAAGAAACCTGAGTCGTGAGGGGCATTCGAAGTCGTAGCCATTGTTGAGACCAAATTTAGGGTTTTGTTTGGAAGAGAGAAAATCCAAATTTCTGAAAGGTTCAGCTGAAGGCGCTGTTTGGGTGGAAACAAAACGAGAAAATCAGAGAAAACTGGAAACCCTTGCGAGAAAGTGTGAGAAAGTACAAAAGAGTCGGAAAGTTGACAGATCTTTCGAGTTACAGTTGTCTTAAAAGGAATGAAACGGTGTCGTGTTCTTTATAAATTGTCTATACTTCTCTATAAATTTTAGATTATTTTATAATTTATTGTAAATTTTGAAAGGGTAAACTACATATTCAGTACTTAAATCATTACCTTTGTTCCATTTTAGTATTTAGTTTTTAATTTCAAAATTATACCTAACGTTTAGTTTATGTATCAAATTGTTACCTCGTTGTTAAAAACTTAATGACATCGATGACATGAAATTTACATTACAAGACGCGTGGAATATCAAAAAAGAGAAAATAACTCCACATCATCATTAACGTTAAGTTTTTAATGGCAGGTACTAAATTAAAATATAAACTAAACAATAGGTATGATTTAAAAAAATAAAATTTATATACTAAAATAAAATAAAAATGATAATTTCGATACTAAACGTGTAATTTACCCCTAAAAATATAACAAGAACCAAATATTTATATATGAACTTAAATTTAAACATATTATCTTAATCTAAGAATTTATATACGAACTTAAATATTTATATATCAACGTGTTATTTAATTTTTAAATATTAAAAAAATCTTTTATATAAACTTAAATGTAATATGAGGTGAATAAAAATTTAATAATATAAATATAAATAAATATATCTATTTTAGTCTTAAATATTAAAATTTAAAACTTTAAACTTAAAAATCTAAGATACTAAATTTAGTATCATAAACTCTACAACCTTAAAATATCAAACCTTAAAATCTCAAACGGTGATATTAAATCTTAAATAAAATAAATAATATTAAAATAGAGATTTTATAAATGTATTGAAAAATTAAATATAAATAATTAAATTTGTGAATTGGCCCAAATTTGACTAAAATTTACTAACATAAAATATTTATTATTAAGTAATTTGATAGTTAATAAATTGTTATACAATATGTAATATTTGTAAAAAAAACATAAATCAAATATTTACCATTTTTTTTTCATTATTTACATCCAAAATGGCCACGTCTGACTCACTCTTCTTCACCTTATGTCCTTATCTATCTATTTATCATTTCATCAGTCGAGAAATCCGAGAAACAGTAAACGAAGACGACCCTAAAAATGGCGTCTTTGGCTCAACAATTCACAGGTCTAAGATGTTCCTCACTCTCCTCATCTCGCTTCTCGGTGAATCCAAAGAAAACCCAGAAAGTGGGCGCTTTTTCTTCTCCGGTAGTTTCAGCCGTCGCTGTCTCAAATGCACAGACCAAAGACAGGCTCGAACTCAAGAAGATGTTCGAGGATGCCTACGAACGCTGTCGGACTGCTCCTATGGAAGGCGTTCCTTTCACTCTTGAAGATTTCCAAAATGCTCTTGAAAAATATGACTTTGATTCTGAGCTTGGAACCAAGGTTTTTCTTTTTATTTGGTTCTTTCGTTTAATTCGAACTTTCAGAATTTATCTGTATTAGCCTGGATTAAGAATTACTAGAGGGTTGTGTGAATTGGGTATTTATTTTACTGACCAATCATTTGAAAATTATCATTCAATGTTGTTGATGGTAATGATAGGGTTGTTAACTCGAGTTTGAGCTTAAATCGAGATAATTAAATAATGTTTTGAGTTCAAGTTTTTTCAAGTTGAGTTGAGCTTCAATTTTTTATTTCGAGTCAGCTTAAAAAGTTTAAGCTCTCGTGCTTTCGAGAGCTTCAAATTTTTATATCGAGTTTGATTCGAAATTGAAAACTTTAAGTTCAGGTTGAGTCGACTCAACTTTATATTTTTTGAGTTGAGTCGAGATCAGTATTCTATTCGGCTTAATACAGCCCTAGGTTCACCCCTTCTGGTTTGGGCAGAGAGCCTGAACCGGTGGTTTTTGTGGAGAATGGTGAGCTGAAGATGAGTAATGTCGATTGGGATAGTAAGGATAAGTAAGGTTGAGATTGCATGTTGCGAATATATAATCCAAAATCATCCTCTTTAGATACGCTTGGATCCTTAATGTTTTGCCACCCTTAGAGGCGGTGCTTCCACCGGTACGAGTCCTGGACACAAACTAGTACTCATTTGTGTGCTATGTTCCGGATTTAACTTCATAGAGATACACCAGAGGGTGACAAACCCTTGAAGGATCAATGAGTACTGAGAGGACAATTTTGGATTATGCTCTCAAAATATGATCCGATGGATTTGGCCGGTTTGTGACTGAGATTTTTGTTAATGCATGAGCTCAAATGAGGTGTTTTATGTGAATTATGTTTCAGGGTGAGGTTTGGTGGGCTTTTGAGTTAGTTTTGTCTTTAGTTGTGAAGAAGATTGATTGAACTTCTACAGTTTTACTTGTGTTGTGCTTGAGGTTTTGTATTATGGATAAAGAAAATGTATATGTTTTCAGGTTAAAGGAACGGTTTTCGCCACAGAAGCCAATGGGGCATTGGTTGATATTACCGCAAAGTCTTCTGCATATCTGCCGGTCCAAGAGGCCAGCATTCACAGAATCAAACATGTAGAAGAAGCTGGTATATTTCCTGGTTTGAGGGAGGAATTTATGATTATAGGTGAAAACGAGGCCGACGATAGCTTAATCTTGAGCTTAAGGTCCATTCAATATGAGCTTGCCTGGGAAAGATGCAGACAACTTCAAGCTGAGGATGTCGTCGTGAAGGGAAAGGTGCGTATTTCTGACAATTGTATCCCGATTTAGTAATGATATTGAAACTCTTATAAGTCTAGAGCTTCCCGACAATTTCATACTTGTTCAAGCATTTCATACTTGTTCAAGCATTTTCTCGAACTGCTCTTTGACTAATTTTACATACGAAATAGGTTGTTGGTGCAAACAAGGGTGGAGTAGTGGCATTGGTGGAGGGTCTTCGGGGATTTGTCCCTTTCTCGCAGATATCATCGGTTAGTTATGAGAACCCAACTGTTTCGTTTCTGTATGCTGTATTTCGCTTTACCGAATTTGCTTTGAGATCAAAATTTTGCACTAGTAGGTTAGCTCTGCTATTTTGTATACAAAATGTTGTATGGTGCCAATAGTTTAGTGTTATGAATCTTTCATTGTAGACTGATTCTTTTGTCTCATCAGAAATCCACTGCAGAAGAGCTTTTAGATAAGGAGCTCCCTTTGAAGTTTGTTGAGGTCGACGAGGATCAGTCCAGACTTGTCTTCAGTAACCGCAAGGCCATGGCTGACAGCCAAGCACAGCTCGGAATCGGATCGGTAGTGCTTGGAACTGTTCAGAGCCTGAAACCATACGGTGCATTCATCGACATTGGCGGAATTAACGGCCTTCTTCATGTCAGTCAAATCAGTCATGATCGTGTTTCGGATATTGCTACCGTTCTTCAACCCGGTGACACTCTAAAGGTGACTCATGTTACAACACTAAATTCTTGGCAATAAAATCCTGCTTTCTTATAACTATATTCTAAAAACCGTGTAAAAAACGGTGTAGGTCATGATATTGAGCCATGACCGTGAAAGGGGACGAGTAAGTCTTTCAACGAAGAAACTCGAGCCTACCCCAGGAGACATGATTCGCAATCCAACTCTTGTTTTTGAGAAGGTAGATCTCGAACCCCTTCTTTGTTGGTCGGAGTGATCGGAGCATAACTGCAAATTTGGTCATTCTTTTTTTCCAACAGGCTGAAGAGATGGCTCAGACGTTCAGGCAGAGAATCGCTCAAGCAGAAGCTATGGCTCGTGCAGACATGCTGAGATTCCAACCCGAGGTACGGTTTTAGTTAGACGGTGATTGTAGAAACAATGGTGTTCGATTAGTATACTTGTGTTAACTCGGTGATGGAATGTTGCAGAGTGGGTTAACTCTGAGCCCGGATGGGATATTAGGTCCCCTTACCTCAGACCTGCCAGCAGAAGGTTTAGACCTAAGTGATGTTCCTGCAGCAGATGAAGATTCTTAATTTATTTGGATTTGCTTTGTTTAAGTCGATCCAAATGCGTTCTTGCAACCAAATGACATAATTCAGCTGTACAACATAGCTTTGAGCTTTTAACCATTCGATGTTATTATTATTATGTTTGTTTTTGGGACTTTATTACAGCTTGCGATCAGATTGTTTAGCTGTCTCCCTTGTTGCTGCTCTTCTTGCTTTTCTTCTGCTTCCGTTGAGTAAGACTGGCTTCCGTGATCTTCACATTGCCGACGATAGCCGCCACAAGCTCGGGATCCGTGCATGCTTTCATCAATTCCTTCTCTCTGCTAATTGCTTCCCCCATGTGGCTGAACAGATTCATGGCAGTCTTTGCAGCTGTACATCAGAAAACCAACAGTTACAATCGACGACGATTTAATTTCGACGTGAAGTAGAGAACTTTAAAAACCTTTTCCTTTCTTCGCTGCTCCGGGAACTATCTTCACGCGGTACTTGTATGATTGAACTGCACTATATGGACCGCAGACAGGCACGGCATACAAGAATGTCATTGGGAAGAGGATTCCCTGTCAAGTAATCCACATCATTTAATCTCCCTTTGTCTTCTTCACCGATCTCGTTGACATCGTCTTCCTCCTTGGCCACTCGGTCCAACTCATTCGTATCATCCAAACCTGAACCGCGATCATCTTCAACTCCAGTTGCATGATGCGAGGTGGCATCAGGATGTTCAGGACAATCCCGGGATAGGTGGCCTACCTTTTTACATTTATAACATATTTTAGGGGCATCTTGAGGGCCTGAAAATTTATAAACAGGATTTTATGCTCCATAACGGAGGATTCTCTACTTCAAATTGCTAGAGACTCGGAACATATAATTTGGTATCAATACTTCTGGAAAGTGCATACCGCTAGCGTTGGCTTTCTGGTTATTGCTGGTAGTAGTTTTCCCATCGTCGGACCCTTCATTTTTGTTAGCTTTCCCAGAAGACTGCAATTCACAAAATTATCGGTGAGGCACGACTCCACAGAGAGAGAGGGAAGTCCACAACATTTATAGATATTTTTCTAAGTACGTA